TAATTTCCTGTCTTGTTTAGATGCTACTTGAGTTATTAACTCTGAGCCATTCTATGGCCAACTCGTATTTGACCTCTAAGATATAAATTGCCCAATAGTTAGATGGAAATGTACCAAGGTCCTCCTCACCGTGGATTTAAAAATATGAGTTCATATTTTCCTTAAAAAACATAACTAAATCAAACTTTAAATGTTAATGCAACTTATTATAAGCTCAGTGCTATAGAATTATTTTCCGCAAAAAAAAAAAAAAAGCTAGAAGCTTTTAAAACTGAGATTTCCGTAGTGATCACGTTTTTCAAATGTTTTTTCAAGTATGAAGCCAAAAAGCATGCACATTTGCAGTTACAATATTTAGACGAAAATAAAAGACAAGTGAAATGTGAAAAATCACTGTTGTGAAATAAAATCTCAGCACCTGTTTGATTGCCAGTTTAAACTTGAAGGTTCTTTTACCAATCATCTGTAACGCCTCTTTGTTTCGTTTACCAACCGAACAGGTTTAGAAGTTTTGTACACTCACCTTCTATGGGAAGATTACAGCCGTTAACTAACATATTTGTTATAAATTATGCACTTGAAAAAATTATTTTGAACATATAAAGTTACATGGTTTTTAATTGCATGATTCATCAATTTTACATAATTCATAATATGAAGCAACATAGACTAAGATTCTAACGTTTGTGTTATTTTTCTATCGTTTTTGTTTTAATATTAAAAAATGACTACTTTAAATTACTGTTGGAAAAATTAAATTATCATAAAGTTTTTAAACACCATTATCACTAGATTGTTTCAACTCATAACTATGAATTTTCCATCAAACTACTCTGAGCAAAGGAAAATCCACGAGTAACGATGAATTAAAATGACGAAACTTGCATATGATTCAGACTAAATACAGTAATGACAGAAATTTCCTTGAATAATGTTCACCTACATTTAATTACAGTCTGATTTTAGCATTTTACCCACTGTTTATCAAAGATATAATCTATGTACTTTTTTTTCTTGTATTAAATAAGCGTTACTTTCATGTGTCAAAAATTCTTTAAACTTTTTTTCATATAATGTTATAAATCATACATGAAAGCTAAAAGCATCCATTGTGTTTCAAGATGAATCTCTAAGAATCGAACTTTAATAGAATTTTTTTAAATTCACGATCGCAACACTCGAGTACGCCCTCTAGCGGGAGTCTGAAGATATCAGGCATTAATTCCATCATAACCATTGGCAATGATGGACGCCATTTTCTTAGCAGCAAATAAGAAGCAAAATTTCCCTAAGGAAAAGCTGAAGAACTTGAAAAAACTAACCAGAACATGCCAAACATTGAAGCAGAACGCGCCAAGCGTTTGAAGAACAATTTCGAAATAATTTTTACCTTTCTATTACCAACAACATAATTTCCAATTACGTGATCACTTGCTGTTACAGATATGTGTATTACGGTAAAAAAAATTTCTGTCCTCAATTCATTACAAATTAAAGTGAAGTCAACATTGCTTTCGTCATTCCAATAAATAAATGTGAATTCAGAGCGTGCAGAACTGTAATAGTTATAGTATATTCTTCTTCGTTATAGAACAGTATATATTTCTGTATCTATATAATTCGGAAAACAAAGCAAAATTTCCCTAAGAAAAAGCTGAAGAACTTGAAAAAACTAACCAGAACATGCCAAACATTGAAGCAGAACACGCCAAGCATTTGAATGCCAGTAGTTTCCAGTTTNGATGGCGAAAGTTCATTACAACTGATGAAGCTTGGATCTATCTATCTGATACCAATGCTAAATCTAAAGTTCAATATCTTAGCCGTGGACAGAACAGGCGAGACTTGACACCATCAACCACGGTGCCTCATGTCAAAGGCGTAATGGTTTGGATGGGCATATCCGCCCATGGTGTGACCAAACCTCGGTTTGTGAAACCTGGGGCCCAAAATAAATTTTGAGTATTCCATACAGAAGATATTAAAGCCCTTTTTTAAGGATGATTACTGCAGATTGTACTCTAATAGTGATGCTGTGTTCCATCAGGACTCTGCCCCATCGCATGCATCTAAGGTCACCCAGAAATTCCTAACAGATCAGCAAGTGAAATTCCTGAGACCAGAACAATGGATTCCAAACAGTCCTGATGCTTCACCATGCGACTATTTCCTATGGGGACATCTGAAAAACAAACTGAATAAGAAAAGATTTTCTACATTGAGAGGCCTTCAAAGAGCTATTAGAGAAGAGGTGAAGAAAATCCCCCAGGAAATCATTTTGCGGGCTTTAAAATCATGGCCGAAGCGTTGTAGACAAATCTATTATGCCGGAGGTCGACATATTGAGAAACATCGCTGAATTTATGTAATAAATTTCGGAAATAAAAACATTCAAAAATGATCCCTATATTTTTTTGTTACCCTGTAGATTCAAAACAATCACTATTTTCTTCTCTATCATAACAATCTCTATTTCTGTCGCCATATTAACTCTAATAAGTAAGATTCAAAATGAAATAATATTTACAAAACGTACGTTTACCACGATAGAGTTTCATGTCATGGGAAGTGGTAAATTTTCCTTTTTTTGGTAAAATATTTCGCTCCTGAAAAAATAAAATTATCTTGTTTTGTTTTTGGCAAATCCCAAAGACGAGAATTTTCGTAGCACTAAAAATGGCGTCAAAAAAGAATTGTTTTTTCTTTTGTTTTGGTTTGTAAGCATTCTTTATATTACGTTTTTTAGTTTCTAATTAATGATTTTTATTGAAACTTAAAATTTTTTGATAAAAATGGTTATCAAAAAACTTTTTTTACAAAATTAAATTTTGTAAAATTATGAGGCCTATGTATGCTTTTTGTTCATTTTAATTTTTGAAGTAATATGATTTATAAAACTATGGAATGTAAAGTTTAAATAAGCCTTTCGTGTTATATCATTAAATTTAGTAAAACAATTTCTCGGGCATTAGGTTTTAACTTTTATAAGAATCTACATATTTTTTTCTGTTTATGTACAAATATTTTTCCGATGTGTTTTGGATGTTCCTTCTTTAAAAAGAAGAAATACCATTTTGTTTTCGTTTGCATAAGAAAGAATATCAAAATTTTTTCTTTTCTAAATTTAATAAGCCACAATAAAGAAAGAACGTTGAAATGCTACACGCTGCATTAAAAACGTCTCTAGAGTAACTGAATGACTGTTGATATAGAAATCGCAGATATTCGTCTCATACAACAACGCCTACTATAGTTCGTTGCGATCGCGAATTCTGTTACCAAAATGCCAAAACTGGGGCATATTTGTTAGCTTTTTTTTTAAATTGGGGATTTATTTATCCAAGTAATGCAAGATCTCTTGACAAGCAAAAAGAGCTGCTCTTAGAGAAATTATGGAACTCATCATGCTGTCTGTGATGCTCCAGGGGTGTTTATTTATTTTCCAAATAATAAATGGTCACATCAGTGAGCGAACCCAATCAACATGAGGTAGCATGCTTATTTTTACATTCTGTAAGTAAAATCCTAGAATAGCCCACATCTTGGCGACTTTTTGAAATCTCGCCAAGCTGGCGATTATTACTGGACTCAACGTTGCGTTTTGATTATTAAAAAAAACAATTAAAATTATTACCAATTGATTAAAATATTTTTTAATAGAATGAACAATAACTTACCTTTGCTGTGATGGCTCATCTTTTGATATTGGATGGTACGTCCTTATGACCTCACAAATAAAAGCACTGTAGGCATCATGTTTCAGCCGGTACCGAGCAAAAAGAAATTAAAAAAGGAAATAATAACGTTAATAAATGAAATAACGGTTAAAAAATGAAAAAATAACGACGATTCTAACAGCAAGAGATCAGAGGCATAAATGGCAAAACAATAAACCCTTTTTGCCTCTTTTCTAACGAAATCCTACTTTCGTGTAGGTATACATATCAAATAATCAATCATGTTTAAGAATTTTGGTGATGTGATCGGACGTTCAAAATAATCCCCCCAAAATATCTTCCGAAAACCGAGTTTGGCGACACTTCAAAATAGGATCCACCCTTTAATTTTTAACTACGTCTTTATATTTGCGGAATAAGTCTTGTCGTTCAATCCAGAAAAAGAGGTATCTCCAGCGGTGGAGAGCGTCTCTTGAAGGGCAGAGCAGCTCCAGAGATGCCTGTTACACATGTCAACATATTCCTCACACAAAATGCACTTAAGAGAGTCAGCGAGTTCAATATAATGTAGATCTGCTTGTAAAAAGTAGTGTCAAATCTGTAACCAAGAACTCGGCTCCTTGTTAGCCTTAAATTCGCAATATGTCAAAAGTAAATAAATTGGATGAAGCTGGATGAATATAAGAAACAGTTTTATGAACACTCACATACCTTAGTATATCTCTATAAGACTACAAAATCACTTGTCGTGAACTCCATAGAAAATTCGTGAAGCCTGATGGGACATCAGGTAAAATGCTGAAATTCAGCATCTCCAAAATTTGGTGGATTTGCGCGATCAAAGCCCCGGAGCTTGAACTGAGTGCAACGCATTCGCAATCTCGTTATTTTTTACTCACTTCCTACAAAAACTAGACCCTTATCATGTCTAGAAAACGAAATTTAAAGATATTCAGTGATGTTCATCGGAAATTCTCTTTGAGCAACTCAAATATTTATCCTGTGAGCAATGGACGCAAGGCAAATTCCACCTTTTTCTCGTCTAGTGACGCAAGCAAATTAATTAATTTTTCATTAAAGTAATAAGTATACAGTTCGTAAATATTATCTGTACATGAAATATGTTTGCACCTAAAGATTGTTAATCCATCAATTTGTTTTATACAAGAAAAAATACTTGAACAAAATAGTTCTACTTGCTGCTGTGCATGCCCGAAATGAAGTGCTGTGGAAGCATTTACAGTAATATAAAATAATTTTGACAAAGATTAAATGTTGAAAGGAAAAAAATGAACTCCTTTGTCTGCTTTTCTTCCATTTTAGAACTTGGGTCACGTTCAGAGTATCCGACACCTGATGCTGGGTCGTGGAGTGGTGACTCCTTGGTTAAGGGACAAGATTCTGCGACTCTTTCTCTTGAGCAGTTTCTTAGTTGTCATAATCTTCTTTAGGTGGCGACACATGGGTCACAAAGTGCCCGTTTTTAGTAGGTGAGTGACCACTCTTTAAGATTTTTTTCTTTACATGAATTTAAAAGTTATAGAAATGTAAGGAGTGTATCTAAAATGTAAAAATATTTTTAAAATGAACATATTTTAAAATTTCAGATTACAGTTTTTTTTTATTTTTTAAATGGAGTTTAAAGATTTTATTTTTCAAAAAAATCAACACTATATTATTGAAAGTATATCAATAATGCAAAGAAAAAATATTGCATAAAATTGTTGACCGATGAATGTGACAGACCTGCTTTTGTGAGATTAATATCGATATAAGTTTTACCTGAATGTATAAAAATTGTATTATAACTTACTAAATAACCTAACTAACCTGGAATATTAAAAGCAGGAGAGGTATTGCTCAATTTTTGAAAAACACTTCTTTTTAGACAATTCACTGCCATTTATCGGGTGGCACTGTTAAGGTGGCCCAGTCAGTTAAGCAGCCGTCCCTCACACCGCTGGTTGGTAAGCTGGGGGTAGCGAGTTTGATCCTGACAGCCGACAAAACAACCGGCGTTTATACGAAGCGAGCTGCGCATTAAATCTGTCGTGTCGAAAAATACTCTCGTTGCTTGTTATGTTAAAGTTTGGAGAAAGGGTACCAGCTCAGATATTATCCAAGTCGCCTAACCAGGATAAAAATTACGTGATCTTGATGTTCCTACCATGGCGGATAAGCGATAGAGCTCTAAAAATGGGGCTAGGTGCGTGACCATAGTTGGGTAATGGTATGAGTGCATAAAAATGTAAATGTTTTTTTTAAAACTTTTCTCAATAGGTTTGATAATCCAGTGGCTGTATCTGCTACTCCAACGCGGCAGCTGACCTACAACTATCTCCTTTCTGTAAATACATGGCTGCTCTTGTTCCCTTGGCATCTCTGCTGTGATTGGACGATGTCCACCATTCCTTTGGTCACTTCCATCTGGGACATTAGGAATGTGGCCACACTCTTTCTGTACGCAGGAGTCTTTCATATTGTACGCAGTCTATTCAAGATGGAAGAGGACGCAAGAATGGCGGCTGTCATGGTAAAGACTTTTTTCTATGTGTAATAAGTGGACAGGTTGTAAGGTTTCTTTAAACGGAAGAAAACCTCTCGATTTCTATTAATATTTGTTTTCCAGAACTGTGATCAGGACTGAGAGCATATATACGATGTAGATGGCGCGATTCTTTCTTTATGGCTCACGGTATTATATATGAGACGAGCGTTTCCGACACCAACAGCCCCTTGTCACATGGACGTGATTTTAGTTTGACATTTTATTTTATAACCGTCAGACTTCTTTATGGAACTAATCCGCATTTGCGTTACATGGAGAGGAAAACCACGAAAACCTTCCGATGTCAAGCTGACGGCGAGGGGACTCTAACCTATGATTCGTCTACCAGTGGGAACATTTTTTACATCAGCACTGTAGTCGGTGCAAGCCGGATGCGGAATTCGAATCGACCAGCCATCGCTGGGATTCGAACCCTGTTCACCTCATTGGAAGGCGAACGCTTCATCCCCTGAGCCATCGTGGCTAATTTGACATTTTAGTTAAATTTTTAAACGACAATAAATGGCGGCTGAAGACCGTTCTGATCACACAGGCTTTGACTTTTAATATGCGCCTTTGGTTCCGCGGGTATTTAAAATATGCTTAATCTAAAACTATTAATAGGGCCAGTCAATAGATAAAAATGTATTTGGCTTTTTGAGAAGATTGAACAAGTGAATTACTGCATATTTCGACGAAGGGGGAAAGGGATGGAAAGGTTCATGCGGGCTTTCATTTGTTGTTTTGCAGTTTAGGGTTTGCTAAATAGTATTTTGATTTTTCAGATAATTTAGCCTTACTTGTCTCATTTCCAATGGTTTTATGTTCTAAGATTAATGTTTCATCCTATAATTAATGTTAGACTATGCTTTCAGAAGTTCATCTTTCAAAATAAAGATAATTATATTTAGTACCATTTGGCATAATACTATTGCTCGAGTTCAACCCCTGAAAGTTATCATTATCAATAATTTTCGTCAATACATATCCCTTTCAATGAGTTCCATAATAATCCATTTCCACAGAGATATCTTGATACCAACGCAATAAGTTTAGTACTTATTAAAAAAAAACACTTAAAAATAATAGTGGTTTAAGTCAATAATAATAAAACGACTTCTTATGTTTTTTTAGAGAGGACTCAGTACTTTTTCTTCATTCATTTATTAATTTAAATTTGTACCTTTTACCAAAATCAATAAATGTTAATTCTTGACAATGATTAGTGACGACACAAATATTTTCATAATCATTTTTGGCTAGCGAAATAATATCGGTACTAACTTTGAATTGCATAAAAAAAAATCGCCGAATTGTTGTTGATGCTAGTGATGCTTTATTAAACGTGGTATTAAATACTTCTGATATTGCCATTATAAATACTGTGGTAATAAGCAATTATTATAATAATATAGATGTAGGTAGCGTGGTAATCGGTTTTTTCCACCATCCTCCTAAACGGATATGTACACTAATATCACTGTTCTCTTCTTTCATGGCACCTATCATACAACATTTGTTTTTTTTATTATTTGTTGTATATTCTGGTGCAGATTCATATCATTAGAATTACCATAATCTGAGTTAGAAATTCAACTCTCTAAAAGATAGATTAATTATACATAAAGTATCATTTAAAATTTATCATAGTTTTTCCATCACTTTATAAATTGCTTCAATTTTATTTTATTAGTTGTTGAAATTCCGTTATTCAAATTCACAGAGATATAAAAGCATTAGTATTAATGCAAGAAACAAACTTACCTTTTAAAAGAGTCGATTAAGTAATTGATTATCGATAACTACTGCTACGTAACTAATTGTGATTACGGGTACAAGTAATCATGATGCCATGAAAGTGGGGTGTAATCGATTACATTACATTTAAGTTCATATCATATCCTACAGCAAGCGCGATAAGGGCAACACTGAAGTCGAACAATTGCCACTCAACTAAAATAATATTTGTATTTAGTAATCGATCATGCTACTCGATATTTTTGGACTTTTCCTTCAAAAAGTGTAACAATGCAAGCATATAGAAATTGTTTCTAACAAATTTTTCAAATTCAAATACCCAATAAAATTTTAAGTGATCGTACTTACTGCATCTAAATGTAGACGATTTCTAAGAAACTATTATTCTAAGCAGTTATTAGCCATCATCCTCAAATGAACGAAAAGGTAGAAAAATCTAACGCTTCAATAATCTCTAGTAAAATCAACGAAACTTCCGCCGACAAAATTATTAGACGAAGTAACACACGAATATTATTATATACCTCATTCTGTAACTCAATTGCCTTTTGCTTATTTAATGTATGGAAAATCATCTTGTAATCAAAATATGATGTTGATCCTCCTGTTGATGAAGCAAGAAAAATAGCTGTCAAAAATACCGATGAGTTTTTTAAGGAAACCAAAATTCGCTATGATACTCATTTTTTTGAAACTGATTTAACAGTAATTTCATTCATCCTGACACAAGGAAATTAAAATCACCGTATTCTGGTCCATAAAAATTTTCATCTGAGATGTCATTCCAAATAGATAATTGTCTCACTAAAAAGGAATACGCATATTGACAAATTAAAAAAATTATATCCAATTCCAGCTACAGGAAAAGAAATCACGATGTGCTTTCAGTGCTGGTATTTCTATGGAATGTCGTTTTTCCCCTTTTTAATTTTCTAATTTTTGGAGTCCCTTCATTATTTGTACTAAATTCCATATTATTTTATTATTTTTACTAAATATTGTATCCATATTATTTTTACTAAGTATTATATCCATATTATTTTTACTAAATATTATAAAATTATATTCTCTATACGTAATAGAAGCAAAAAGTTACTGGAGTAGGTCATTATAAATTATTAAAAAATGAAACATTCATTTTATATTATATACTTCAGAGTACTTTCCTCCTGCATTCACACATTTCTTACAACATTCGTATAACCGTTCCTGGAATTCATTTTTTTGAGAGTTTCTTCTTTGCATTTTCGTTCATCTCATTTGAGCTCACAAACCGGTGTCCCTTCAATTTCATTTTCAGCCGCCGAAACAGGGTAAATATCCACTGGTGCTAGGTCGGGAGAATAAGGAGGGCGTTCTAGAGTGGTCATACTGTGCATGGCAATGTACTTTTTAATGATCAAAGAGTGATGTGGGGGAACATTGTTGTGCAAACGAAATCAATCGTTTGTAGCCCGTTTTTCTGATCGTTTTCGTCTGATTGCATCGCGTAATCTTTTTAAAATCTCGAAGTAAAGTTCTGTATTGATAGTTTAGTAAGTAAAGTTCTGTATTGATAGTCTCCAGGAATAAATTCGTAGTAAATAACGGCTTCGTAACACCTCCCTCACATCATTTTCCTCCGGTTTTCCCCCAACGAAATTTTCCCGTTATCGGTGATGTTTTTGCTTTCCATTCACTTGAATGACGTTTTGTCTGAGGTTCTCGTAGAGTGAGTACCATCACCTGATAAGATTTTTCAAGAAACTGCATCAACCATGATCAAATCCCTGCACACGTTTACACTCACTTCTTTTTGTTCAGGGGATAACATTTTTGGAGAGATATGCAAACAAGCAACATTTTCATCTGCGGTGGAAGGGGAGATCATCTTCGATGTTTGTGCCACCTTCACGAAAACGCTTATGCTACTCATACACATTTTTTTTTCATGTCATCATTTCCGTGTGCTTCTTCAGCATTTCGAGCATCTCAGAACGAGATTTCCCGAGAAAAACTTAGAAATTAAGATTTGCAAGCTGCTCTAAAGACGACATTTCAAAGCCCGACGAATGAAAAATTAGCTTTGTCAGAAATGACCTGTGTGGCCCTATCNGAGTGAGTACCATCACCTGATAAGATTTTTCAAGAAACTGCATCAACCATGATCAAATCCCTGCACACGTTTACACTCACTTCTTTTTGTTCAGGGGATAACATTTTTGGAAAGATGTGCTGACAAGCAACATTTTCATCTACGGGGGAAGGGGAGATCATCTTCGATGTTTGTGCCACCTTCACGAAAACGTTTATGCTACTCATACATAGTTGTTTTTTTTTTCCTGGCATCGTTTTCGTGTGCTTCTTCAGCATTTCGAGCATCTCAGAACGAGATTTCCCGAGCAAAACTTAGAAATTAAGGTTTGCACGCTGCTCTAATGAAAATTTCGCTTTGTCAGAAATGACCTGCAGCTAACGCTGACAGTGCCAGGAATCAATTCCAGAAGATTGAGTGTTTTCGTTATTAGTGCTGCCAACCTCTAAAAAAACTATTTTCCTTCCAACGAACACCCGCATGAATGCAGGCGACCATTCCGGGAATTTATTGACTCTACCTCGTAGTTATGCTGAAATATTTGGTTATATGAATGAATGTTGTTATATTTTGAATGTAAATGTATAATATTGATATGTTCTGGAAATAAACTCAATTTAATTCATTTTAATTTAGTCGCGTGATAGCGAAGTTCTGACCAATAGGCCAATAGATTGACCAGAAATTTCTTCAGAGGGGGGAATATTATGTAATGTTAAAAGAATTATATATTAAAAAGTCATAAATAGAGCTTATATCTAACGTGCAACCGATTAAGACCTTTCTCACAGAAAAAATGATAATACTGATCTAATTATATCGGAAAATGTAATGATGTGTTTTTAGCAATCTGAGAAATTGATCAGTTACACTTTACCACTATTTAATATTTAAATATATTGTCCAGAATGAACTTTCGAAGGTCAAAACCTTCTATTGCCAGAAGATAATGTTCTCCTTTCTTGGACTCCCATTTCTCTCCAACCTATATTTCAACAACCGCCGGCTACACTACAATATTATTCTTTTCAAAACTTAATAAATAAATTAAAAAGTAAATTTTTTTTCAGTTTTATTAATTGCACATAAGCGGCAAGTATATAAAACCCATGTATAAGATAAAGATACAAAGAAAACAAGGGAAGAAATTTTTGTTTTATTTGATAATGAAAACGATACTCCTTTCTAAAGACGATATCTTGAAGTAATTGGGAGTATTCCAATTAAAGGGGACATTTTGACGCTATAAAAATATTCTGATTGAAAGGACACATCTAAGAAATGTTTGAAAGTGTCAAATTATGGTAGTCTATTGTGTTTATTTCCACATGAGAGGAGGTTACTTTCTTCGAAAATTGCTTATCGCTTGTTTCCGACGAAAGAAAAAAAAAACCTCAACAAAGGTAATTAACTTGTTAGAAAGAATAAGAAATTCAATAACCAATTTCACTCCTTTAACTATTCCAATAAACTCTTTCCATTTGCCAGCTCAAAATGATCACTCAGTGCATAATAAAAGGAAATGTGGCAAAAGCGATACGAAGAACAAACGATTTTTCAATATCAGTATCGCTTTCATCGATTACTCCCCCCATCTTAATGACTTTCCAATAAGACCTATATTGATAACTAATACCGCCTCAAATGCGATAACTACTGGTATGGGAGGTGATCATAAATATTACCTAGATTTTTCCGATTTGCCTTCATCTAAGCAACTGGTTCCTGTCCTACTGATCTATGTTTATAAGGTTGAAGTAGCAACTGCGCTTGTCATATGTTTCATTTATCTTCCGTTATCACAACGCAAATAGTGGGACACTCAGAAATACTTATCTGCCATATGAAGAAAAAAAAACGATATTTCATAAATAAATTGTAGTTGTTTGTCGAGGACAAGACTTTTCAAATTAACACTAAAATGTTTCGATATTAACTTTACAACAGTATCCGGAGTATTCACCAATTTTTTAAAATCTAATTTTGGATTTTTTGTCAGAAATAAAGTCAAAATCCTATTTCCGATAATGCAAGAAGCATCGCAAATCTGTCAAGAGAGCAAAAACAAATACGCTATTCAATTTTGACAAATCTTAATGAGCATGGTTGGAGTAAAAAACAATAATAATAAAATAAAATAAACAGCCAAACCACCAGATCTATTTCCAATTGAAACTTGATATTTCTTATAGCCGCATGCAACTTCTTTCCGTTTCACTTATATTCTATTTTGTAGTCGTTGTTGAACAGCCGACCCAATTTTGAGTTTACTGCTACCAATGTTCAACTTCGTAAGATTGTCATTTTAAACCCAATCCAGAAGACAGAGGAACTCCTGTATCAAGTATTAGGAGTAATTTGCTTTCTCAGAGAACTTTTTGGTGGAACTAACCCGCATTTGCGTTACATGGAGAGGAAGACTACGAGAATCTCCCACTGTTAGCTTGACTGAAAAGGGATTTTAACGCAGAAACCGTCTATCACTGAGGATATTTCACGTCAGCATTGTGGTCGGTGAATGCCGGATGCAAAATTCGTATCGACCAGCCATCGCTGGGGGGGGGGGGGTGAGCGCTCTATACCATGAGCCACCGCTGCTCTTTTCTGTCACACTTGGCAATGTAACAGGTTTTGTTGCTTTTAGTCTCGTTTTCCATTGTTTTAAGTCATTAGATTTCGACGAGGTTATTTTTTCATTGTCTAATATTATTTCTGGAACTATAATGCGCATTTTTTCAAAAATTTACTATAGACAGGAATTTCAAACATGTGTGAATATTAAGAGCTATGATAACGGAACACTTTGATTTGGGCACAGAAAAATTCAGGTGTAACGAATTTCATTCGTTTGAAAACCCAAGTAATCAAAAATGGTGTCTGAATTTGATATGAAAAAGATAGCGATAGAAACGCGCGGATTCCTTTTTGTAAACTAATATTTAAAAAAAAAGGAAATTTACTTATTTAANGTTTAAAAAAAACTTTAAGATTGCCATAGTCGCTTATGTAGAGCCTTAATTTTGGGATGTTACGGACTTGATAATCTACGCAAACTCCATCTGTGATTGCAATAAATGGCTTTGATAATCATTAAAAAAGTAAGGCTACTGGAATGGCTCTCAATGTAATTAAGCCATGATTTAGTTATTGAGAGAAGTAAGATAAAATTTGACTAAAAATTTAGATTGCAGTAAGAACAATTGCAATTTTTTCCCTCACCTTGGAGTATCCATGGTTGTTTCGGAAGACGTGAAATATTGTGTGGTTGCGAACAGTTATTATTAGGACATGTTTGTTATTACAATCATTAACAGTTATTTGATTTACCTTTTCATTTTGCCCGTCAATCCCCGTGATTGTTCGCATTCATTGGTTTCTTTCTTTCCTTTTTTTATTTTTAGTTACTTTTTGTTTTGAAAATTGGTATCTTCTACAAAAACAAAGACAATTTTGTTGACGAGTGATATAAGTATTGTAATTTTATGTAAACATTTCTATAATAATCGTAACAAAATGAATGATTTTGTAGCAGTACTTGAAGAAGTGTATGTGAATACAGAATGAGCGAAATAATAAGAAGACTCATTTAATAGAGATAAAAATCATTTCATACTTAAACTGTTATAACGATATAAATCTCTCTTTAAGAAGTAAAATCACTTTTTATTAAATTTTTATGTTTTATTATAAGTTTTAAGATTAAAATCTGGCATCAACCCATGGCTCTCTTTCTTTGGTTAATTTTGACATTAACTCGAGCGTGAGCTTATAAAATAAGGAGTTCAAGAGAGATAATTAAACTCCTATCACGATCTGAACAATGGTGATCATCATGTAAAAAAATAGTTTCCTAATCCCTCTCTTTCACGTAAAAATATTTTGTTTTCACTTTTTATACGAGTTACTCCAAAAGGGTACTTACTTTCCTGACATGCCTTGTACTTTATATTTCATTCTAAATAAACATTTTAAAAGAAATATAAACAAAAGTCTTATTCTTTTCTCAGGGGCTGTCACTGCTGGTTTTTCCTTTCCTACCAGCGAGTAATCTATTCTTTCCCGTTGGTTTTGTGGTGGCTGAGAGGATCCTCTATATTCCAAGCATGGGATTCTGCATCCTGGTGGGACAGGGGTGGCAGGCCATCGTCGAAAGGAGGTAAGTTTCCACTTAAGCACATTTTCATGTTGAGAGAATTGTCCCGTAATCGTAAAGACACAGTTCCCAGTAGAACACCAAAGTAAAGCATCACTGGCTGTGGTCATTAAGAGGGTGGGTGAACACTTTGAACACTCTGTGTAGGGACCGAGGGTGCGTGGCATCGGTCCTCGTTAAACTGTTCTACCGTAAAGTGCTTGACTTTGCGCACAGGTGAACGGGCTACACAAAGCAGGGGAGCCATTCCCTCTGCAGAGGATTAAAAATGCGATGGCATGTCTTCGGATCATCCTCAGGGATGCTTCCCAGACCCAATCGCCCATTATGCTGCTCTAGTGGGACATAAATTAATTACCTACCTATTGAGAGAATTAAAAAGTTAACTCTCTAAGCTTGATAAGGAGTGCGAGTGTATTTAGCGACGAGACCAATCAACACATTCTTCAGTTCACCACTCTAAGATAAGGTTTGTTTTATCGCTCGTTACAATACTTTTGATTCTTGTTTGAATAAGTTCTTACAAAATTGTGAACTCAAAAGGCTACTCAATTTATCATAACAGACCGATTTAGTAGTTATTTTTGAGCATAACTATTTTGAATTCATACATTTAAATTATTTATTCGAATAAATTTATTCGATATACAAACTCTAACCAGTTCGTTTGAATCTTCTTTTCTTTATAAACATAATTATTTTATTGAATTTAGAAGTTTTGAGCAATTTATTCGAATTCAAAGATTTCATATTTATAATTTGTATTACTTTATTTATATCCCACCGGAGAATTTATTTATTTGGTAATCGTGACATACCTACATGCAGGTTAAAATGTTCATTAAAAAGAAAGACTTATACGCTCTTGTTAAGAATAGATAGTGCAAATTAGAAAATGACATTAAAAAAGATGCATACAGGTGGGATTTTAACATGCTACTTCCATGCTGCAGAAAGTTAAGCGGAACTGCAAAACAACTCGACCAGGAAAATCATAATATAACTAACTGTTAAGAAAGATTGCGAAATAATTATGAATCGCTTTTTGTCTGAATAATTTCTTCCTTAACTCCACTTTACAAGTAATTACTTCCCGCCTCCATATTGTTTATCTAGAAAAGCTCAGCAATTTAAAGGAATTAGCAGTTGCAAACAATTAACAGGTTAATGATGATTATGGCACTATTTCATATTCTGTTGTACAGGTTTTTCTAAATGACCATTCATTTTTGTATATATAGGGTGTCCTTGTTAAAAAAAAATGCAAGAAACACTACGTTCTCCATGAATCGCAAATTAATGTTTAAGTGACCAATTATAGCTGAGGACAGTAAGAGCAAAGAGGGGATTAAAATAATAATAAAAAAAAACAGCTTATTTGTCTCGTGGGATTGAAAGGCATTCGCTTTTCTCTAAGATTCGTCTTTAAGTTTCATCATCGATTAAAGTAATTTCACGAGATTTTAATTCCCGTCTTTGAAATTGATGGGTCAAATTTTGAAGAATTTTCATACTTTCACCCAAAAATTTTTAATTTTATAGTTTTTTTAAAACTTTGTTAGAAATTTTAAAAACATTTATGAAGGTTAGTTATAATGGAATTATCTGTCTAAATGCATATAATTAGAAGACAGTTATTCTTTTGACTCTTGTGAAACCTGGATGTTCTCCCACTGCCTCTATTTTTTCTGTCTTCATTTTATACCATTAATGGACCTGCAATAAACATTACAGTACTTTAAAGGTACACATTACAGTACTTTTTTGATTTACAGTACTTCAAAAGTTGCTATTGTAATTTATGACTCGAAGCACAAAACACCATATACACTACTCTACAATAATGGAAGAGACACTCGTTTTTTGACAAGAAATACTTAAAGGATTATTCATAAATTTAGAGGTGTTTAGGTCATGAAATTTTTTAAATTCAGTAATAAGGCTTAAAGCTTTCAGAGGTTCAAATGACCAGCAATAAATTGCAAAATAAAACAAGTATTTTTGTACGCCCAATGACAGAAAATCAAGCAATGAGTTTGCAACTCATATAAGTTATTTTAGTTGTTACTTAGAATAACTGCCTGATATTTCATAAACCTAGCTAAATTATTTACGGTCATTTTTATTAAAAAAAATTATCTTTTTTAATAAATAAATTATCCCAAAAATTATCTATTTTCTATAACTATGAAAAGATTCAGGAATATTAAACAAAATTTTTAGAGTAATTTAAAATTAATTAAAAATTTACTGTCTCAAAATTTAAAAAAAAAACAATTGTTAAAAATTTTGCAAGATGTTAGGATTTAAAGTAATTTATTTGTACTGTGCATGCGCAGAAAAAAGTTAAAAATGTTTTTCGTAATTTCTTAGTGAATTGTATCTAGTAACTGATAAAGAAAGTCTATTTTGAATATCTTAAAAATGTAAATAGTTTCAATCAATTTTCCAAATAGTTTTTGTACGTTTAAAAACAAGCTCCTGATCAGGAATTACATTCCTCAAATTACATTTTGTAGTACTACACAACCATTACAGTAGTTAAATTTTGTGAATTACACAACCTTATATCTACCGGAGAGGAAGAACAAAATAAAATTTGCGGAAAACCTCTGATCATTTTGAGCTTTCTTTTAAAGAAAACAAAAACTATTTGGAAAGTTGATTGACACTTGATAAATTTTTGAGATATTCAAATCTAACTTTTTCCATTAGTCCATAAGAACTACTTTTTATTCTCCTTAAAAAAATCTTGATGTCTTTTTTCCATGTTTTCTCTATTATATATATTGGTTTCGCTAGATCTAGAGTTCGCTGTTAATTTTAGGAAATTTCATTTTTCGTAACTTTAATGATAGTTCTATAGAATGAAAAATTCCAGTTCATTTTTGCTTCTCACTTATTTTAAATGTGAGCTACAACTTTTAACTATTTACAAACTACGTGCACGAAGTACTATCAAATCATCTTTATATTTTAATTTTCAAAAGACGAGTGTGTACTTTTTTACTCTGTTTCAATTCATGTGATCAAGAATTTCCAAGACGTGAGCACAAAAATAAAAGAAACTAAAATCACAAAACGTGCATCTGTTTGATTACTTGGAACAAAACTGCTCTTGCCGGAAATGTGACTCATCTGTCTGTCGCGCTCAAAAATGGTGTCCTTTAACAACAGAGTACATATCTGAACACGGATGTTAAATGCGATTATTTCGGGGTTTTGAAGTATTACAAACGCTTTTAACATAAAATACTTTATAACAAAAACAAGGAATGATGTTCATGGTACAGTGACATAGAAGAAACTGAATACAATTAACCCTTTTACATTACTGCTCAGAGCGCCATCTGTTGGATCTTAAGAATTATTATTATTAACATTGAGAAATATTATTAACAAAGGGACTGCTCATCAGGCTGTACATAAACGGCAATGACAAGCTGGCAAAAGCATCCGTAGTAGAGTGAATTATTATTATTATTATTTTTAAGTTTTGAAACGTTTTAATGCGGAAAACTTGCTCAATGTAATAAGAATAAAAACGGGGTAAGATTTTTAAAAATGGATTAATATATTATGCTTGCATCGTATTTAAAATAAATAAAAAATAGAAAAAACTACGAATTTTTTAATTTTTAAGTTAGCTAAAACTTTTGAAATTAAAGTGTTTTAGTTTTTTATGATTGTTCAACGTGACTAAAAATAGATATAGTGACATAATATAATGACTAAAAATACATGTTGTGTTAATGGTTTTAAATGGCAATGGATTTTCTGTTTCCAGTGACCAAAAATCGATGTTATTTAAAAATGGATTATTTCATTTCCGTATCTGGACGTGCCGGCAGCTGATTTTCCCGATGAATGACGCTGTATGCTGCTTCATTGAACACATAAACGTTGACTTATACGACGTGAAACGTCTGAAAGCCAACAAACTGTAACACATTCCGAAAATGTCTTATCTATATTAGGAAGCATTATGGTCTCGTGAATGTTTTTGTGTCATTCACGAGATGGACTCATCACTGTGAAAAGCACGATGGATCAACACAAGCACTTAACTGCCCTATATACCTTTACGGACCATGTCCATTTCTACATGCGAATTATTTTTTCTAGGATGATGGCGTCTACCAGCAGAACAATGCAGCATATATTACAGCTCACAATGTACGTACGTGGTTCAAAGAGTGCGAGGTTGAAATTACCGTATTCCCCCGGCTACCAAATTTTCCGAACGTCCAATAGAGAATCTGTGAGACCACCCCGATTGGTTTGTTCGAGCAATTGATCCTGAAATGTGAAACTAGCGCACAACACTGGATTCAGTAAGACTTAACATTCTAATGAACATCTTCAAGAACCTAATTGACTCTCTTCCTGCACATAGTCCAATGCCTGTTCACTTGTAAAAAGATATTTATTCCGACATTTGACTAGTGGTCACATTAATATGAATGGATTACGTATAAATAAGTAAATGATCGAATCAATACGAAAAGAACTGCGAAAGCAATTGTGGGAAGCTAGTTTATTAACGAACATCTTTCTTATTAAGAATAGTTTATGGTAATGACGGACCTGTTTCTTCTTATGGCGAAAGTACATTTAAGTTATTTTCCATGAGATAAAATCTAGAAAATTTTCAATCCATCCACATGGTCAATAATTATCAATATGGCTAGCGACATTCGTGGGTGAATTGTTGATATAGATTGTTTTGGAGGGGGATATGGCTCTGCTCCCCCACTATCTTCGATATAGTCTTTGTGCCAATAGATTTTGCCGTTTACGAAGCTCTCTTCCAATTATTCAATAATCTGGCCAACAAATGTCAGTGAGAATTTCCAATTTCACACAATGACCTGCGGAGTGCCTTTAATCTTTGAACAGTTGATTGAATAGCAATCATTTATTCTGTCTCAAATATACTCCCAATTTGTGATCGCGGAACATACTCCTACCACCCTATGCACAATACTATGCATTTCTATTAAGTGGTAAACCTATCTGAGTTTTTTCTTTGAAAATAATGGTGCATATGTTCAACTCTGTGCTTTCGAAAGACGCTGGCATTTTAAGTGAAATGAGAAAAAAAAATGATAGTGAGAGACTGCTTAGTTTTTCCGTTTTCTGTTGAAATAGCTGAGCTGATATAGGCTTCTTAATTAAATATATGCAAAATAAGAACAAATCGTAACATCCAGGATAACTTTTAAGATAATGGTCATTTTCTTAAAATATGATATGATAAAATATCTGTGTGTTAAAGCACTCTACAAAGCTGATGATGCATGAAACTATAAAATCATTCTCAAAAATGTACTTAACTCTGAATAAGCAGTACGTTTTTCCCTTTGAATTTATCCTAATAACTCCGGTCCTCATTGGATCAATGTTCATGAACCTTGGCTCAATAAAGGTTCTAAGGACCGTCATTTTACTATTATTGGTATAGCTTCGGAAAACCTCTAAAACTGCAAATTTTTTTATCTTAAAACTTGAAAATCCCATTTTGGGGATGAAGAAATTTGTCATGAAGATTAATTCAGTATTTTATCTTTTTCTTTCATGCTTATAGAATTAATGTAGTATAATATTTTTCATTGAAAATCGCTATTGAAAATAAAGTTTTACTAAATATGACAAGTGTAGTTTTTTTTTAAAAAAATATTCTTTTCCAGCAAGAACTCTAGATGGATTGGTCTTTTCAGTTTGATTCTTTTACTTGCATTCAACATCCTAAAAGTAATTGGAAGGAATAATGACTGGTGAGTTTCATTTTCACTACTTTTCTTAAATCGAAAGAGAATTGCATTTTCAAGCTGCTTTGAAATTGCTTATTTAATTTCTTCTCTGCTAAAGTTAAAAAATGAAATAAATACAGTCCATAGAATCTGTTTTGTGTCTAGCCTCCTAATATTTCTCTCTAAGAGTACCAACATTGAGAGCTGGGTAACAGTTCAAGTGAAGGGCATCCATTTCTTCCTCTATGCTGCACCATTTCTAAATTGTGCTTCGAACAGTGTTTATCAGATGCAGATAGTTTGATGTACAGTCATGGACAGTAGCGAGTCGAAAGACGGCAACTTATTTTCATCTAGACCGTAATGGCCTGAGGCAGACCACTTGTAATTTCACAGGAGAACCAGCAGAGACCTCTGTGGTCAACATGGGTCAAGTTGTAGATAACCTAGCCGTATTATTACGTTAACAGGGTTCATTACTAGGATGTGGATTGACATTGCACCCCATCGTGCAATCTTGAGCTGTGGTGGCTCAGGGAATGGGGCATTCACCTTCCATTGATGTGAACTGGGTTCGAATCCCGGCGATGGCTGGTCGATACGAATTCCGCACCCGGATCGCGTCAACCACAGTGCTGGCGTAAAATATCCTCAGTGGTAGACGGATCATGGGTTAGAATCCCTTTGGCATCAGGCAAACCGTGGGAGGTTTTCGTGTTTTTCCAAATTTCTCCCACTACTTGATCCAGGAGTTCCCTTGTCTTCTGAATTAGGTTCAAAATTACAAGGCTATGGAGTTAAACATTAGTAGTCGTAGACCCAAAAATTGGGTCAGCTGTTCAACGACGGTTATAATATAAAAATTTTTAAAAGTTTTATTTTTTCAAATTTTATTCATTCATTAAAAGAGCACCCAGAAGGATATGGATAAATGCGATCGAATCACCGTGAGCTATTTTTACAACGCGTTGAATGCTAGGTGTAGTGCGAAAAAAGGGAAACACTTTGAATAACTTTTGATCAGATGATTGGATTTCATGGGCTAAGAGGCAAACATTTTTAGGAAAATTTTCGTGGTTTTCTTCTCCATGAAGCGCAAATGCGAGTTAGTTCCATCAAAAAGTCCTCCACGATGGAAAATTTCTACCAATACCTAGATACAGGAGCTCCCTCGTCATCTGTATTGGGTTCAGGATTACAAGGCTACAGATCTGAACATTTGTAGTCGTAAACCCGAAATCGGGTCTGCTGCATTACATAATATATTTAAAAAAATGGTGCAATCTTAATTTCTGCAAATTCACATAAGATTTGCCAAAATATCGAACGGGTGTATTCATTCATAGGTAAAATTTCTCTAATATTATTATCACAAATATCTATTACGAAATACAATATAAATGTTTGCTAATCCCATGAATGGGGCTCCTGCTTTCACTTGGCGTACTTACAACTCTCCCCTTATTCTTTTTAAAAGTTTCAAAAAAAATAAAAAAAATAATCATGACATATTCAAAATAAAAAATTCAGATAATTTTTTTTAACAATATCAAAGCACTTACTTCTAGTTAGTTTCAATGTAACTGGTGAAGAAAATTAATCTCCAAAAAAAATTAAATCTCCCCATGATTAATAGAATAAAATGAATGCTGTTAAAGTTGCAATCTACCCTGAATTATCTTTCTGAGTTTTGAAACTTTCTTTGCAACAAGGTCTGTTTGAAATGCTAGGTTAATAGATTGCATCAAACTTTTCCCACTCAAAATAACATCAGTTTATTTCAAATCACTTTTGTCCATTTTGATAAACCTTTAGCAATAAATCTTTGAAAGCCTCTTTCTGTAACACATTTTTCTTTGACACGTTTTCAATGAGTATAGTAAAAAATAGAAACAGGCCTTGTGTTATTTAATTTAAGTCTTATTATATGAATTTGTCAATTTCCCCTCCTTCAACCGTCTGACATGCTTGATATGGTTCAACATCTGTTTCCTTTCTGTTTCAAAAACTATTTAAAACGATCGTAAACACTATTTGATCGTAGTCTTATTCTGCCTTTTAACTGGTCACGATTGCATAAATGCCCATTTAAAAAAAAATTGCTGTAAAGGACTTTCCTGGTTGTCCTCTTTGTGACTCTTGACAACTTATGAATTTTAATCAAATTACCGAATGCGGTGCAATAAACCCTTTTATTTCAATACTCTAACGGCCTTGAAATATTGACTTAGTTGCCTGATGTTCTGGTATTTGCATAAATAAATAAAACTTTATTTGATGTTTTATTTCCTTTCGGGTTAAAGTTGCAAACGCTTCTGAGGTCGTTTATTTAATTGGTAACGAAAATGAGTGTTTCTTCACTTTCGTTTAAGTTTGATGCGATTTTTTGCCCGCACAACCTTCAACCGATTCACCTGCATCCACTTCTTGCTTTTCGCTCTTTTTCTTTGTGCATGCACGTGACAACATTTTAAATGCTTTTGAAATTTCCATTCCTGCGTCAAACTGTTTGAGCACCTCTTGCATATTCATTGCATGAATTATGAAAGGGTCATTTTCACATTCACTTTAATCTTTGTACTATTGTATGATATCTTGGCTTCAAAGACAGAAACAAATGCAATTAACTTTTCCCGTTTAGTCTCGTATATGCGGGACTTTTCAATATTTGGATAATTGGGATGGTAGTTTCGAATGCTACAATTATGAATGAATTAATATCCCCGGTTCGAATTAAGAAGAAAAAAAGAGCAGTCCGAACCATTCCCTTGTTACGGAACACGTTAAAGAGTGTTTGTTAAAACTCGAAGCGACTGTTACTACTCTTAGAACAATCCTCCCATCTGCTGTACCCTCCATTGATTCTTAGAGGCATACTGTCACTTTTACTTGCGCCCTCTCTACGTTCTCACCCCTTCTTCCTTTGCCGGGGCTGCGTGTGACGCCCACTTTCGCCGCAGCTGTTCACCCCTTCAACAAGCACGCGAACTGTTTCTGGAGGAGAGGGAGATGGGGGAAGCAGTGAAAAAGAAAAATGGTTGTCCATGTCCTTTAATTGCCGATGGACATGCAGCAGTGTTTTCTTTGGCTGAAAGTGTTGTGACTGATGCTTCGTCCTTCTTCTCTTTTTTTTAATATTTTATTTTAGTATTTGTTAATTCTCTTTCTCATTACACGCATTCTTTTAAGGATGAATTTCTTTCAACNCATGTCCTTTAATTGCCGATGGACATGCAGCAGTGTTTTCTTTGGCTAAAAGTGTTGTGACTGATGCTTCGTCCTTCTTCTCTTTTTTTTAATATTTTATTTTAGTATTTGTTTTATAAAAACCAATATTTTTTTTAATTCTCTTTCTCATTACACACATTCTTTTAAGGATAAATTTCTTTCAACTGAAGTCGTTTTTATCATTTTATTTTGTGAGTTGTACAAAAAAAGTCTTTATTAAAACTTCACTTGCCATGCAAGAAAACGATGGAACGATTTTCATTTTTTAAAGTATTGTTTTTGTAACAGATTTCCGTTTTTTTGTTTTATTTTCAGCATAAACATAAACATTCATGCGAATGAGAGAAATTAATACACAAAAAAATTTTAGGTGAATTTTGTGACACGGAGCAGTTACCATTTACTTTTGTCTAAAAATCCCCAAGTGAGCAACCTACTTCAGACGAAACCCCAAGATTTTAAGAATAAAAGTTTATTAGTCATTGCGAACTCATTCATCAAAAACAATCTTAAAGATCAAAACTTATCTTAAAGATGTGCAGAAGGAACTTTTTTCATTGTAAAGTATTATCAATATAAGTCTTAAAAATTAGGTTTTCAGCTCAACAGTTAGATTGACAGGTGTGGAGCGTCATCCATCTAATTATACATTTTAACTCTTAGAACCCTTGTGAACTTCCCACGGTTCCACGGAACACCTCATTTACGCATGTAAGCTATTCTATGGTTTGTTACTATTGTTTCTGATATCATGGCAGCAGCTGCTTATAAGTTGCTTGCATTGTTCTGTCAGTGATGTTCCTTTTAATATATATCGTCTTAAATAAACTACTTTCTAGTCTGCTTTAATAATTCTGGTGCTCAGCTCATCACTTTCTAATATTGAAGCCTTGAAGTGATTCAATGCATCAAAAACCAGTTCAATTGCCAAATGAGACTGAATAACTTTCTCCTTTTCTAGGAACCATCCTATGGCTTCATGCAAAATTAATTTATTTCTAATGTTAGTTTGCTTTTGTAGATACTGTTTTGATGATTTGTCAGAGAGTGAAAACCACTTTTTTTCCTTTCATACTTAAATAATAAATATCTATCTCACATTTCCATAGTTTTTTTTTTGCTTCATTTTTTGCAAGCATTTTTAAAATCAATAGTTATTAACTATCATTCCGAAAGTGTGGATACGTATAGTGGAATATATATATAAAAGAAAATAATAGAAACTCGAATGAAATGTTGAAGTTCAAAAAAAAAAAAAATATTTGTAACACTGCAAACCTGATATTTTTTCAAAACAAATTATTAAAGATTTCATGTTTTTCATTGGAAAGTTGGAAAACTTTAAAATTTACAAGCATTAAGTTTACTCATTTGTATTTTTGTTTACTTTTACTACTTATTTATTTATATAAATTTTAAAAAATAAATAAATTGAGAAATCAATACACTCTTAAAGAATTCTAACATTAATCTCCAACTATTCCCTGATCAGCGAAAAATAAATAAATAAATACTGGAGAATAAAGTAAATTCTCGGAAGACAAATTGAGCTGCCAAGTAAGGATTGAATCGATTCGTGATAACTTAACTAACTCAGATATTACTGTGAAGAGAAAGATAGAGAAGGTAAAAAACTAAATCTCTCTCTCTCTCTCTCCTTGATCCCAGATTGATATATAGATGCAATAAAAGTGGATAAAAAATGGCATAAGAATAAAAGGGGATGAAAATTCTCCATAACTAAATGCTCAAGAGTGTAATAAACTTTTAAATCGTGCCCACTCTCTATTTCGGCC